GGGCACTTGACGCAGCCCTCATCCTTTGGTAGATACAGGGAGCCTCCGGGAAGCCCTGGCGCTCCAGGAGGTCCATCCGGTCCATCCTCTCCTGGCGGTCCCTGTTCTCCACGTGGTCCGGGCGGTCCGGGTGGGCAGTCGTTGGGCTGAGGTCCGCAATTGCATTCTGGAGCAAAACGTTTCTTACGTCCGAAAATATCGACATCCTTGGATGGGACGACCATTTCTTTCCAGGCCTCATTGGCAAGCATCTGAAATTTTTTTTCTAGTTAAGCTATATTTTGTTTCTACGTCTTAAGGAGCCCTGGTAAGTTCGAAGGTCTCACCTTGAACTCTTGCATGTCATCCATTACATCATCGTAGAGGTTGTTGATGTCTTGGAAAAGCATTCCAACACAAATTAAACTAACAACGATCACAAGCCCGGAGGCGCCAGAAGCAAAGGTGACGAAAAATTTAGCACTCATTGCAGAGGACTATTGTGACATGTGTGTCCCAAAGTATTTATGTATTGAGAAGTGGGCGTGACCTTGTATGTGTTCCGCATAACTCCCTGAACCGCCTGATAGACCCCTCAAGGCCATGCGCACTTCATAAAATTTTTTTCTCCAATTTTTTTTCTTAGCGTACAGCTACGCTTAGGTCTAGTTCGCTATCAAGGATTGGCCATGAGATGAAAGTGAAAATTTCTTAGGGTAATTCTCGTTTATGAAACGTCGTGAAAAACAACTTGAAAAAACTTACACTCAGATACTTTTCCAATTGGATCATTTATATTCGTGTAAGAAAGAGCTCTGGATTTGTTATGTTAAACAATAGGAGATGTTTTCGTATCTCACTCGATCTCTTAGATTCATGCATGAGTTTCGAAAATCTTTTGTTCTCTTTTTTCCCTTAAATAGAAACAGTGGCACCATGCCATCTTTTTGATTGAAAGGCGCCTTTTTTTTCTTGGTGAACATTTAGTAATTTCAAATACTCAAATAAATTGATTTCTTTTTATCTACAGAAAATGCAAGAAGATATGCTGCTTGCGGATGATTACAATATGCATTTACTTGTATCGTGGAGGTGACATGTTTCGTGATTTTTCACTAGAAACTTAATGATGTTGAATTTTTAATAAAGCTACCTGGAGTTGATTGAAAAAAGCTCAAAATGTTTTAAAAAACTCAAGCTTTTTTAAATGAAGACCAAAGTGGTAGTAGTTTCTAATTTTATAATGATAGCTCATGACCATAAGTTGAGTACGCTTATGCCATACCTTAGCTTTTTAAATAAACAATAACGAAAGTGCTTAGTACGTAATACAAATCAGGTCACATTAATAATAATTCACAGTTCCTAACGAGAAAGGATAAGTAGTGCCCGTGGCTTTACAAAATAAAATCTGAAATAAAATCCTTTCCGAAATAAGATATAAGACTTTTTCCGCAAAAAAATAGCTTGCAGTTTAGAGCACTTAAATACTTCTAATTCGCTTCAAAGATTGATGCGAAGTTCATTTTTTGACTAGATAAGTCTTACCACCAAAAATATGTTTTCACTTCATCCTTTGGATATTTTTTTCCTCGGTTTAGACATTAATTTCAGATTATGCAAGCTATTTTTTGCAGGAAGAAATTTCCATGACATCCTACAAAAAATCTTTTTGCCAATATTAAGGGCAGATTTGAAACCAGTGCTTTATACTGTATTTAATGATAAGCCTTCTATTTTGAAAAGCCACGGTCACTAAGTATCCTTCCCTCGTAAGCCTAACTAGCCGATCACCTAATCGTAGCTTGTGCCATGAGCTTTCCTCATTTGAAAGCTTACGATAATGCTATATAGGAAATGAAGTAACTGCTGTGGTAACGGACTGAGTATGATTGCTTGATTGATAACTAGTTTTTTCTAATATAGCTCTGAAAAACAGTATAGGATTCGACGCATTGGTGGCGTCACATGTCTAATCTCACTAGTCCCGCCGTAAGATGCTAACTCAACAAAAAAACTGTCTTTCATAATACTTTAGCTTATCAATATCTAGCAGAAACCTAACCGCTGTCTAGCTATCAATGTAAGTATAACTGTAAAGAAGTTGCTCGAACTGCATTTGATGGAGATTAGGATTAGATTTTTGAGGCCATATAATAGTCAGTTTCACATCTCGAGTCTTACTCTATAATTTTGCAGCTTCAGATCCTTTAAAGCACGGCAAAGATGTACAGGCGTTCAATCTGCATTTGATGTTTTTGTGTTTATAGCTGGGTAGTCGAATG